ACAAAAATTCCACTAAAAGGGGGCTTGGCAGAGTTAAAACCCGATGTTTAAAAAAACTACGTCTGGTTCACGTATATGCCTATTGCACGTGCCATAATACTCTCTTGGTGGCAAGAGAGGCATCATTGAGTAGTAGCTTTGTCATACCAAACCACTAGTCATTCAGTAGATTTTGAAGGCAGTAACGGTGATCACTGCGCATGCTCGTGAGTTTGGTAATTAAAATAGACTGTTTAAATTCCAATCAAGCTAACCTCATAGCTAGTGACGCCGAATGGAGAACACCATTTTTCGTCATTTGGTTGATTTACACGAGGGTACTGTCTCCTCAGACAGCCAGTTAATGAGGGCAGCTGGTGAAAAACTCTTCGCAGGGGTCACAACAACTTTGACTCCAACATCTTTCCGAGTTGTCACCTTGCTGTAGAAAAGCAACGAACTCCACACAAATACAGCCACCTCTTATCCACAACATACACTTCTAACTTAGGGCGAATAACCGAGCCGTGTGCATCTACAGTAACACTAAAGCAGATTGTTTAGGAAGCCTAGGCAAACTAATCCTGTAAAAACGACCATGAGAGAATAAAGAGGTTATCTATGCAAGGCGTGTGGAGAAAGTGGACGTACAAGTGGAGACCCATTTGAGCACAAACAATACCTTCAATCACAGGGGGAAATGCCTCTGCAGTAATGCACAAATTACCTACCCCCTGATAAGCAACGCACACTTGGAAATGATTTGCCACTGACATCGCTTCGTCTCAAGTCTCAGATCCGGTGACCCATTCCCATGATCGGTGGGAACGTACGATTGAACCGGGGGGGGGGGCGTGGAAGCCAAGGCATCAATGGATAAAAGAGCTCTAAGTCGTTTTAAAGTCCTCATACATGTCTAGTTGACAAAGGTAGTAATGATATGGATTGTGTGAGTGATGGTGGGAGTGTGAGGGAAGGAATGGGATGAGACAAGGAGACAAGGTGTGGTGTGGTCTGAATGTAGCTGTCAGTGATTGGTTGGCTGTCCCACATTCTAGAAAACTGACTGCCTCAGCCAAATTGTAACAATCCTCTAGTTAGTTGACTGCGGCGGCTGCAATTACCGATACAATGATGTCAGTGGCACAGGCGGCGTCTGGTGGGTTGGTGGTGGGGAGGATGGCAGTGGGATGGTGGCCAGCACAGGTGCCACCGCTATCTTCCACATCCATCGCTACTCACCCCAGGTGCATGCTGCGTTACTGACATGTGACCCGATGTGGCATGTTAAACTTCCTTTTTGCTCGCAAATCGCTACTCTCGCAGACAGGCGCAGGGGTAGCTGATGCACCAGCCGACTCGATGACTGGGAATGTTGCAGTGGTCGTGTGCGTAGGTGTGCTGTACAATTCAACAGGATCTCGATCCTCACCAACCATTGTGGAAAATCAGGAACATCTTTATCTTCGAAGATTTCTAGTGAATAGATTCCTAAAGCCACAAAATTTTAAATAGTTGGATATTTTACGAAGACCGTAGGATGAAGTTTGGTGTTCATGAGATGCAGACAGAATTCACCAAGTAGAAACTGTATAACTAAGCCACACTACCTTAGTCAAAGTGTATGTTTGGGGTGCGGAAGATGCCCATGCCTCTGAGGTCGGCTAGACCCCTCCCTGCAATAATCCAGTATTGTCAAAAACAAATTGGACAGCAGGAAAAATATGCAGACTAGTTTTCATTCACTTTTTATCATTTGATTTTAAGAAGACAACAGATCAGCCATAATTCGAGTGACATTTTTGAAGGGACGTGGAGGACAGTCACTTTCTAAATATCCATTTCCGCTTAACGTCAGCTTCATCGTTTCTTGGTCTCTGATAGCAGGCGTTTCGTATTCGGTGAACGACGTGAGACTCGGAGTCATCGAACTGCCTAGATTTTAAGGAGTATGTGTTGGATGGAATATGCTGTGGAATTGAAATGTTCTGGCAACGAGAGCGTTGTGTCTCACACGTTGATATTGGTTAGGTGGATTCCAAAATTTAAGTGCAGCACAAAGGCTTTCATTGAGCCCCGATGGCAGACAACGACAATATGCTAATTCTCTTTTATTAAAAAACACTTGACGCTTTCTCATTATTCACAGCAAAGAAATGTGTATAGTCTTGAGTGCCTTACTGCGATTTTTCGACCACACATAACACAGAGAGAAGGACACCGCGCCCGTAAAGGCGACTTCTCAGTTCAGATTAGGACTTTCATTCGGTAGACGAATGGCTTGCCTTATTGTTCCACCCAGCTCAAAGTCCCCTGAAAGCATACGCACGCACGCATGCACGCATCGGTAACAGCCAATCATCTCAGCCGACTGGCCCTCTCCCCCTCCCTCCTTGCCGCAAAGTCACCTTCCCTTCTCCGCACCCTTCTCTTACAACGACGTCACGCCACACGGTACCCCACCGACCTGCAGCCCTCAACTGGTGCAGATAATAATCTGATCCGGGGCTTCGTGGACTGACTACGGGGGTGGGGCAGGGGCCCCAGACAGAACGAGGGAGGGTTGGGGTGTGCCCTTCCGTAAAATAAACACCACAAGAAGGGGGCGCGACGTGTCTGCGTGCGTGCGGTGAGAGTGGGATCGGTTACATGGGATGGACCTGAATTCCATGGTCCATTGTCCTGAAATTATTCAAGGAGGCCTTACCACCACTGTGACCACTCACATTCATATCTTGGAAAGCCTTTGGTCAAGCATATTAATCATAACGGTTCCTTCCTTAGAGGAGATCTACCTACTCGTGGGTTATTTACCGATGGCTACCAAACCGATTCTGCCTACTCCCACTCCAGAATGATGCATGTGTACCTAGTTAGTTGTAAGGAATAAATTGCTGCCCAAGTTTTTGCATGATGGATTACTTGTCTTTATCCCAATGCGAAATAATGTGGGAGAACAAACGCACCACACGTTCATCATTTACCTGAAGAAAATGTTAAATAGACCAAAGTTGATTCAATATGCAAAAGGGTGATATGCAACTCAAGACAACTCTGCGATTGTGGAAGATACCCCTCTCCTACCAAGTCAAGTCCACGACCAGAAGGCAATTGTTAAGTTAGCGACTACAATGCAAAATTTTGTGGTCATTTTAGGTGAATATGTTCATTCCTCCTCATCACCTTCAAATCACAACCAGGTAGATGCACCGACCGTTCTAATGTGCTTGAACATCCCTTCAATCAAGGACGGTCTCTTCCTCGATTCGACAAACACCCAAGGGGCACAAAAAGGCGCATTTTAACGCCCCTCAAAGTAACTTTAATTTAGGCAGACTGGCGGCTTCCTTTAGGCGAGCTGGTTGTTACGTCATTTGGCCACTTTACCTCAAATGACGTTAAATGGCTCAAAACGGGTTTGAGAGAGGGCAGGGGAATGCAGTGAAGCACCGCGACACTGCGAGTGTAGGAGTTGTGTGGAGTTCTGATGTGTTCCCACACCTTTGGTGAATTATGCAGGAATGCATTCTTTGGTGCCTCGCAGATGGTTTTGAAAAAAGGAAGGAAAAGTGATGCAAGTTATTGAAGTGGCATCTGGGTTAATGTACACCCATCAGTTGCCTTTTGGACCGCAATTTAAAGCTGTAGAGTGATATTGTTCACTTTTTGATTAAATTGGGACATGGTACGTTACATAGTACCTCCCTGAAGTGCTTGTATGAAGACTATAGAAATTGTTGGAAAGGTAAATGATTTCAAAGCAGTCCATTGTTGCTCCTGGATACATTGTGTATAAAAGTAAACCTTCTTCAGCTTAAAGGTGCCTGAAGAATTATTCACTCCACTACAACTGTTCCACAGTCCAACGTCTTCCTCCAGTCAAGTCTGAATGAGTTGGGACTACTACTTGGTAAGGACGTAGTTGTGCAACAGCAAGAGAACTCACGAAATGCAGTTCTTCCGTGTCTACATGCGAAAACGAAAGCCATTCTGACCCGCTTTCACCACTGTGGTTGGGTGGATGGGTAAGTGGGTGTATGTAGCCGTCCTTTAAATTATTTTGTAAAGCAACAGCTTGCTAGCCATTCTGCCTGGAAATCAACGCATTTGTACAAGGGGATGAGGAATTTGGAAAATAATTTGAGATCTATAATTAGAAACCATTTAACTCACTGTATTCACTAAAATGATGAAGGAAATTAACTTGTTGCCGACTCCTAGGCATTAGCCATACCACATGAGCACCCCACTTTTTGAATTGACCAAAAAAGTAATTTGTTACCAGATTAGGTAAAAGTTCATTGAGCATGATGGAATGACCGTTTGTAGAAGTCAAAATTTGCCAAGTTGGGTGCAAAGTGAGGAGAAGAAGGAGACCTCCTCCATCTACACGTACACCAACAGACGCACGTCTGCTCTGTTTGTGTCCAAAGTCCAAACACAGGAGCAACTTACGCCTCGTTTCCGCCCCATCAGCCCAAACCCTCCCTTATCCCCCTTGCTAACCCAGAAACTTTTACTTTGCAGTGGGGGCTTCGTTTACCTAAGACATGCAAGTGAATTGACTGCGTTGAAATTGAAGTGTAACGACTCACCTGAATCACGCCTTCGAGACCACGTTGCAGAAGGGGAAAAGCTAAATCAGCCCAGACTCCTTTGTCTTTGTAATTTCAGAGCTATGTATTACAGATGTTGCATTTCGTGAGCAACTCTTAATGTGGGCAAGCTGCAGCCTTTGTGTGGCCCAAGGCGAAATGAAGTGCCATTCACAAAATATGAAGATGACATCCGACGCCATAAAGCAGAATAGCAGCTTTCCCAAATACACATTTGTTTTGTTCGTACGAGTTCCTAATTGTTTCCATATCAGAAAAAGTAAGGGAATCTCTTTACACATATCCGGTTTTAAGGTAATGAAAACATTTAAGAAATTCTTAAGTTAGCATCTGATGTTTGAAGATGGATGACGGCAAACATTCCTAGCGGCTTTTGATGGGGTCTGTGATACTCGAAATTGATTGCTAGAGCGAGGGATTTGGAGATTTGGGTAACTGATTGCCCATCCCTACCGAGTGCGATTTGGTTGGAAGACTGCCTATTTCACAATCCTTCCTCACTGCAATTATGCAGCAAATGTGGAGATAGAACGAGTGGTAACTGCACCCAGTGGCACTGAATGTGAATGTGACGGGTAAGACTCGTGAAAAGCTGACAGGAGCCCCAGGGGACGGTACTTTCGTGCACAGTCTGTTCGTGGAAGGTGCACCGTGGGACCCACAGACTGGTCTGCTGGCGGAGGCAAAGCCCAGGTAAGTGGTCGCCGCTCTAGCCGTCGTTTTGTCAGGGCCACCACCGTTGACAGTCAGGACACTCGAGGCACCCACACACGCCTGTGCCATGTGTTAGACAAAGAAAGGCTGTCCCGCCTGTTTAAACCCTTAATCTGAAAACATAGGTTAACCACGCCAAGTGGGTGTTTAATGGTATGGCAATCTTCCAACAAGTTTAAACCCCTGCAAAGCTGTCGCATACTTCCACCCACTTGCCATCCACTTGATAGGCACTGATATATCCTATTAGATCTACTTAATTGTTATAAGTAGCGCCCCACTTTCTTCTGTCTTAAGGGTGGTGATAAAGGTGGATGTGCAGCCTCCGAGTTAACCTTGAAGTAGTGACACCGCCCATGAGTATGAAAGTGGGTACTTGATAAGTATCTTTTAATGCTGCTGAAAGGTCACCAGCGCAGCCAACATCCAGCTTGTGCGTCGAATTACGCGAGAGGAGTTTTTGTCCATTCAACTGCTACATGACCTCCTTCTTGTATCACCTATCGTCCTGCATATTGCGCCTCTATCTGTGATCATTCTTCGGCTCCAGTCAATTCAAGATTAGTCCATGAGTTGTATCTGACTGCAGAAGAAGTAATAAGGCATAGTGGATAATTAGCTCTATATTTTACCCCAGCCTAGTTTCACTGTCTCTGATTTTTCGTGAAAATCTTTCCTAAAAGCGAAGTAGAGGGGTAAGTGTGTGAAGCATTTGTCATTATGATTTCTACCTGCTGAGACAGACAAGACTTTTCTGATTCTACAGGCAGCTCTCACAAGATTTAGTTAGTTATCAAGGTTGATGCAGCTGTCATGCACTCTTCTCTGACGTCTTTCTTTGGAAGGTAACTGTTTAGGCGGCCAACAGACTGGAAATCAGGTTGCGCCCCCTAGACTACTAGTTCTTGGGGACGTTAGCAAAGACCCGTGCAACTACTGAGGTAGTGCGTTGCTAAAGGGACACTTACGGGAAATACATTTTGAATTTGCGCTACCTTTCCATTGGTCTAATTTTAATTCTGAGGATGACCTAAAGTTAGGCCACCATGCCTGTTAAGACAGCTCTGCCTGAAATTTCTCACAGTCAACGTGATGGTGAGAATTTGGGCACTGCCACCGACGTAGAGTTTGAACTAATGCCGATCAAGGCAGTTTACCGTGTGTACACAACTTTGAGGAAAATTTGCGTTTGCCCAAAACTGGGTGGCGATTTTGTCATTTTGGTTGCTCAAATCTTATTCAGGTTTCTTGGAGGACGGATGTACATAATGTGTTCATTTGGGGCAGGTGAAGGAGGCCTCGCAGACACGCCTCCCCCAAGGAGGGATAACAAGGGGGAAGTCATGCGGACGTGACGATCTGATAGCTCATCATGGTTAGCCATCTGGCTTTGCCGATTTTAGTCAGGTGTGAGGTAAGAGGAGTGTGGGGCAAGTATACACGGCTAACCAGCCACATAGCTCAACTATCTTTGAACTAAACATGAAGGTGATGAAAAATAGTTATGTTCAGGTAGAATTGGGGTCTGCGGTGTTGGGAGTTTTCTGTGTGACTGCACCGGAGCATAAGCTGCCTTCATGCGCCTTTCAGTTTGACCCAGATGGGCAAAAATGGAGGTTTGTGTTTGTAGAGCCTAGTTACCAAGCTGGTGAGGTGTTTGTTTTGGGCGGGCGCGTGGGCATTGCAGGAACGTGCCATCCGAGGTCTGCTGCCACCACCACCACCAACCACTGCCTCAGTTGACACTGGTCCTTTGATACACTGATTAATCAACGTCCTAGCCCCCAGTGCCATCGTCCGCCTCGACCCACTCGTATACTAAAACTTTGTTAAATCCCTGTATTTCCCATACATCAGCAAAATCACACGCACACACACCGCTCGGTTCATCCTGGTGGCGATGAACGTCCAACTCCACTTTATTTCCATTTACATGCCAAGTGGTGCGGCTTTGTGAATAAGTCAAGCCATTCTAAGAGATGGCAGTTTAAGACTTAATTACCTTTTACAATTTTCACCCCTAATGTGTCTTTCCTCTAATTGGAGTGTGATATTGCGTCACCTGAGTGCGAGAAGGTCATTTGGCATCGGCTACAACAATGTGTTTTTAAGATACGTCAATCCTCTTCTCCAAACATCCGCCCTCTCGTCCCTTGGGCGAGAAGTTCAAACACTAATTACAATTACAAGTGCGCGTGTTTTCTCCTCCTTGTGGACTCATTGGTGGCACCTGTGGCCCCAATTCCATTGCATCCTTACTTGCATTCCCGTCATCCCTTCTCCGCCAAATTGGCGCTTATATGGGGACAAAGCCTACTGGAAGTCCCATGGGAAAGGTACGATAAATGTCAATTAATTTGACCCCATGACACGACCTTGACTCAGCTGTAATGCCGTATATCATAAAAATGTCAGCTTGGCATTAAAGAACTCGATAGAGATTTCTTTGATCTCTGGTCTACAGCACCATCTGTTCGTGTGACATGTAGTGTGTGTATCAGTCAAGAGGCGCCTGCTAGTGCCTATCAAGCAGTCCTTCGTCGGCGAATTACTAGTCCTTTCCATAGCGCACTAAGGGTAGCACTTCCAGGAGTTTATAGTGAAGGGTTAAGGTACATTCTGGTTATACAAATTTTGGACAAGTACTTTTTGGCCCCGATGAAACATATAAGATTTTTTAGCCAAAAAATACCACAAACCAAAGACGTTGCAAAGAATGCGGAGGCGTGACGCAGTTCACGACTTTAAAGACTATAGGACACTTTCAGTGCATAACTTTGAGATTTGGACGAGACTAAACAGGACCATCCATCAAGCCTAGTTATGCCTTTTGCTTAGAGAAAGCTTTGTTTAAAGGAAGAGGGAAGATGATTTTCGAGGTTTATGGAATGCTTGCTTCGTCCACTTTTACCTAAGTCGCTTGAATCGGAGAGATCTTTGTAGCTTCGATGGGCGTCCTCATCATGAATTTAATGGTTAAGTTTAGAGCACCAGGTTGGCTGGAAACAGATCTTATTTATTCATTTGGATGAGCACAGCCGATACCATAAATGCCAGTTCGTGCATAAAATTGACGGTTCCGATAGAGCATGATGGACGACATTATCTAATCGCCTGTCTAGAGGAAAGGCATTCTAGGAGGCCGCCAGGAGCTCTTTTCCCATTCTAAATACAGGAGATCAGACGACTTCAAGAAAACTTGCAATGACAGAATGTTTGTGGTTAGGGGCTGGTCGTGTCTTTCCCTAATCCGTGCTGCCTGAGAATGTTCCACGTTGAACAGAGGCAATGTTGGCTAACACACTGAAGCACCAGTGTTGTTGAAATGTTTCATACTCAAATGGCCTATGCACCTTTTGTAAACTCTACGAATCCTCCAAAAAGTACGAGAAGGAGAGACAAAATTTTAAGATTTCAATACAAAACCACACCTGCAAGTGTTGCGTAGTGTTTGTGAATTACTCAAACGGCATGGCGAAAGAATGGGTGGCAAAATCCGGTGAATTAAGTGGTAAATGCATTGTAGCATATTGTGTGTCACGAAGGCATATCTCTGCGTTGCACCGAGTAACCATCTAATGGGCGAAGGCCCAATTATCCAAACTACCCCAAAGACGATGACAACGTTTACCACCGACGGCCACGTAACACACTCCACCGAAGGCTCCATTTGCAACGTGGAGGCGGTGGAATGGTACAATGCACCCACCACTGATTCTCAATGATTGGGGGAGGTGGGGCGAAATGCGGTTGAGGAGGCAGCCAAATGGACAGCCAAAGTTACGTACATGCAATGTTTTGATAGGTGTTGACTCGCTGTCTGACCCCTTCACACATGGGTGGCCAATCTGGCTGGACCCATGTCAAGCAGGGGCGTGCGATGGGGGGCAGTGGGACCTGGGCCCTGGACTTGGAGATATTTCGATGTTAATAAATTCAATGGATTGAAAAATCTTTGTGTTTCTTTCAGATTTTTCATTAGGCAAAGTACATGCCACAGCATCTAACGAGTTTAGATGATGGCCAGTCTAAATAATATCCTTCGGTATACTACGGCAGAGAGAAAGTTAAATTTAGATTGAATTGTCAACCCATTGCATGCGCTCGTGGCGCAAATGTCTGCGAACATAAAAGATATGCTGCTACAATTTTGGAAACCGATTGCATGGAACCACCTTTGCAGCCACGATGCCATTGTGGGATCCATATTAACACCAAGAAAATGCCTCGCAATCTTTAGTGGCAAACAAGACTTGCAGTAAAAAGACTGGCGTAGTAGAATCCCTAGGAAAGACAAAAAATGCAATTTACTTGCGTCTATACCGTACGTGCCAGAGTACGGTCTTGACAGTACAGGAGATGTCATGGCGCAGTAACTTTGTCTTGCTAGACTACTGAGCATCCTACAGCTTATGAAGGTAGCAGCACCTACGTCTGTGCATGCCGTGATTTCAGCAGTCAAAATGGGCTATTCGAATTTCAACTACGTTGAGAAACACCATTCAGTGGGCATTGGTTGGTTTACGTGAGGGTAACGATTGTCTCCTCCTTCATCGGAGCAGCAGATGACGAGTCCTTCTCTAGGCTGGCGACAGATTCGCCCGCACTCTCAGTTGTTACCCTGCAATTAAACTTAAAGCATCCCATACAAACAGAGCCACCATGTATCTCCAACATCTACTTCCAATTCGCTACGAAAAGCCATGTGGCGCGCTTCTGCAATAACACTGAAGCAGATTCTTATGGCAGCTCATGCAAACAAGCTCTTTGTAGAATAAAGGGCCCTCATGAATTACACTAAGGCTATACTTTAAGAAGCGCACCACATTACAAGTGCATGGGAAGCCCTGTCCGGCTCGTTCGACGAAAAAAGGCTAAATGGACCATCTCACAAAGCGTTCGGACAAACTAGACCTTCGAGTGGGATGCATTTGAGCAGAAAAAAAACACCTCTAGTCTAAGACAAAGAGAGACGCTGCAGTTATGCGCAAATCATCAACCTAAAAAACATGTATCTCTCACTTGGGAATGTAAGGTAATAGGTGCCCAGAAAGGCGACAGGTGCCGTG